AGTCCTCTGGAAAGGGCTTCAGGGACCTGGCACGGAGGAAGCACCCGCCACTCCTGGTGGGCCGCGGCTGGGGTACAGAGCGTGGCCCCGATGAGGGCCTGGAGCAGCCAGCACTCCTTCTGGCACCAGATCCCATCCCAGCCCTGAGGCAGATGGGCTGGGGGACTCAGGGGCGTCCCCAAGGGTCCCCGGAGCTCTGGCATGGGCACACTGCTGCTCACTCTCTCTCCAAGGCAGATTAACTGAGAGTTAATCTGAGTTATGTAACCACCACTCCCCACTCACGGCCTCGTGACTAACCAGCCCCTCTGAATTCCTGCAAGGGGTCGCGGAGGCAGGCAGAGCAGCGACCCGGCACCTGCGCCGTCCGCACTGGCCCGAGAGAGGCCCTGGCCTGGCCTCCTCCCCGGGCCTGGATGGCTTCAGGCAGGAGAAACCCTCTCAAGCCAGACTTCAAACATGAAATCTAGATCAAGGATATATTTGGCTTTCCCAGCTAATCTTTACATCAGTTTGGTCTCTACTGACTTGTAACCCTTTGAAGCAAACTTGGCAACTACGTATTTAAAACAGATGACTCTTACATAACCCCAGAGAGGAGCCCCTGGGCTCTGGAAGGCTCGGCTCTTTGTGGGTCGGGTCGGGGTTTTGCGTTTACCCAATTTGTCATGACCCAGGGTCACGCTCCGGGTACCCTGTGGTTCTCGCACAGAAAGCCCATGGAATGCAGGGCCCAGGAGCACGCGGAGCCACATCTGCCCAACGCCGTGTTTGTGTCCGGGTCAGAGGGGCTGGGGCAGACTAGGCTGGGATGGGGCGCAGTCGTCCCTCCGGAGACCCGTGCCAGGAAGATGCAGGTGCGTGCGCTGGGGGAAGAGAGCCGTTCTGTCTCCTGGGGTCCGGAGAGCTCAGGGAGGCGTGGAGCTATCTCAGTCCCTCGGGTGCCTTGCTCTGCTCCTCTCTCCAGCGCACACAAGAAAAGGCAGCAGGTGATTAAAATAAACAAACAGCCGGGGCCAGACTGGGAGGAGCCTATTCCCTCCCCACCCCCACTCAAACAGCTGATCCCCAAGGTGGGGGCGAGCAGGACGGGAGGGGGACGGACCAGTGCTGCCCAAGGGTTTGGGCTGCCTCCTAAATCTGTGATCTAGCCCAGCATTATTTTCCCCGCTGACACTAGGTGGGTTCCAGTTGCAATCAAGTTGGTGGCGGCAGCTGGAAGTCAGCAGGAACCTGGATTCCCTGGGAGTGCAATGTCTGTGGACAGGGCGTTTGACTTCGGCCACTCAGCTCAGCTTCACAGCCCCAGCTGCCCGGGGGACTTCACAGTGGGGACGGTGGCAGCCAACCCAACACATGCCCGCTGCGAGGCCCAGACACGGCACAGCGCGCACGGGAGGGCTGGAGGGACTGTGGATCATGTCATCACGCACAGCCAGGGCCTCCCAGGCAGAGAGGCAGGGGAGCCTCGGAGTGGGGGGACAGATGGAATGACCCCGAGGGCCAGGGCCCGGGATCCGGATCACAGTCGCAAATGCCTTGGGTGGCCGCTCCCAGCCCGGGAGCGAGCCACAGCCTCGGCCGGCTGCCACCCCAGAGGCCACTCGCACTAGGCAGCCAAACCCTGAGCTCAGGTGGCGGCTGGTTGAGCAAGCACCCCCCCCCCACCGCCAGCTCTGACAGAGCCGAAAGCCACTGGGTCTCCTTCAAGGGCTGCCTTGCTCTGAGCCGATGGAGAGTGTCTTTGGAGCTTGGGTACAACCACCCAAAAGTCATAAAAGCAGCTAATAACACTCAATCTGTTTCTACCTCCTGAAAAAGAAGGCTCTGTTCTAATGCAGAAGCAAACAACCAAGCGGGACATGATCTCCGGAGCCGGAGCTACACTGAGTTACCCTGAGCCTCTGCCCTGGCGGAGCAAGTGGGGCCTTCTGCCACCCGGGCTGGAAGCTCAGTGTCACCTGTCCTGACCGGGCTCTGAGCCTGGCAGCAAGAGGGGCAGTGCTCATCGGAGAGCCCAGAGTGGCTTGTGAGCAAAGGTGAAGAGCTATCTTGAAGGGAAAAGTGCTTTTTCTAGATCTTGAGCAAGCAACCCCTGGGCTCTCAGTCCCCAAGTGCCCATTGTGATGCAAAACCACCCAGACCCTCTGGGCACAGTCCTCCTTCTTCTGGCCAGGAGACAGCACTCACAGACCTAGCTCTTCCCAAATAGGTGACAGCTGGTCCTTAAAGGCACACTCGCAGAAAAACCTCCTGTGCTAACATCGAGGGGAGAAAACAAAAGGTCAACCTTCAAAATCACCAACAGAACTATTCCCTAGAGCAAAATCCCAAGGTTTTACTTAGGCATGCTTTTAGAGCAGTTATTTTAGTGAATTTTGGATCCAAAGAGAGGTTGCTTTCCATGATCTTTGCTCTCCTCTCCCTTTATCAAAATGTCTTACTTAATCTTCTAAGCCAGCAACTTAGCAAGCAAAAAAAGAAATAATGTCTGTTCAAGTAAGTTGCCATCAGGGATCAAGTGGCAGATGGCAGCTCAGGAGGCATCTAGGAGCGCAAGGCAGGACGATGGCTGGGGTGGAGACCTGTCTGGTCATTCGCAAGGCCTGGGAGGTCTTGCTGAGAGCTGTCCGGGCAGAATGGTGGACAGCAACCACGGGGACCTGGATCCGGGTCGTCCCTGCAAGGCTGTGCTCGCTCCGTTTTGCCCACATCCCAGAACGGTCAGAGCCCAAACCTTATCTAGCCGGGGCAAGCGGGGCAAGCGGGGCAAGCGCAGCGAGTCAGCCCAGTCAGTACCCAGCACCCAACACAATGGCTCCACGGTTAACCTCTTACAGCCCACAGCGGCAAACGAGCCCGGCCACTGGGAGAAGGGATGCCAGTAATAACCTCTGACAATTTTCCCTAGATGCGCTAAACGGCAGTCACCCCTGTGTGCAGCATCAGCCCATCATTCAAAGGTGGCCAGAAAACGCTTGGCATCCCCCTGGCCCCTTCCGATTTCTCAAAATCAGGACACACGCACTTCATCCTCCCTTCGCCTGGCTCCCCCAGCTTTGTCTCGGGGTGGGGGCGGCCCAGGCAGCTTGCTCTAGCAACTACCAGCGCCTCCGGCTCCCCAACGCGGGAGCGCAGTGCATCCCAGTGGGCAAACTCGAGAACCGCACGCGGCTTCCTCCGCCTCCACCTATGTCCTCTCGGCTCTCGGTCCAAGCCGGGACCCAAACGCACCAGCTCCGCGCAGACCCCTCACAGGCTCCGAGGCAGCCTGCTCCTCAAAAGAACAACTGTGCTCGCGTGGGCCCAACCCACCCAAAGCAGGAGCTGGAGAAGCCCAAGTGCCACAGCGACTGGGCAAAGTTTGCCGAGAAGGGTCTTTCTGGACACCCCCCACCACGGGTTCCCGGCTCAAACCCCCAGTTCCAGCTGGCCCTGGAGTTCGCCACACGAAAAAGCGGTGGGGCGCGCCGGCGAGTGTGTGTGCGTATGTTTGGAAGGGGGTGCCTGCCCGCGCCCCCCCCAGAGCCCTGGCTCTCCCGCCCCAGCTGCCCGCCAGCTGTGCGCGCCCCGCCGGCCCTGAGGTCACCCACAAACAGCTGGATCAGCAGCTGGGAGCTTGGGAGGCCCCTGTTCAGCCCCGGGGCATGAGAAAGGGGAAGGGCGGCTGGAGTGGCTGTTTGGTTCTGATTTCCTCTAACTCCGCCTGCAAAGCTCTCGCTGGCAGCCGGGAGCTGTGGCTTTCCTCGGCAGCCCCGGCCCCCGCGCCCGCCGCGCCCAGCGGCCCGTGCCTCGCTCCGGGCCCCGGGAGGAGGCGCGCCGGGGCGACCGGCCAGGACACTGCGCTGCTGGCGACTGGAGCTGCGGGCGCGCCCGGCCGGCCCCACTGCCTAGGTTGCTGGGGCGGGCGCCGCTGCCCGGACCCCGGACGCGCGGAGCCCAGAGAACCGGCCGCTCCCTGTGAGGCCGCCGTGCTCTGCGCCCCGGCTCCCGGCGAGCGCCCCAACCCGACTCCCGGAGCACCCCGCTGGCGGCTCCCGGGAAGCAAGGAGGGGGCCCTGTATTCGCCACGCTGGGGAAAGCGCCGCTCCAGTGCAGCCGGCACCCACGCACCCCCACGCCCCGGCGCTGGCCGGGTTGCTCACCTGAGTCCTAAAAGCTGTTGAATCCACATGGTCACGTTTCGGGGAGCGGGGCCTCAGACCTGGCTCGCCCCGGCCATCTGCGCGGCGCCCGCGCCCGCTCGCTTCCGTCCCGCGGCGCTGGTCTCCGGCTCTCGGTCCGCCGCCGCCGCCGCCCGCCGGCCGCGGGGCGCGCAGCGAGTCAGAGCCGCGCGCGCGGGCCCATGCCGGCCGGCGCGCCGCCGCCGTTGGGGCGCATGGCTCAGGCGGGGCGGCCCGCGGGGGCGCACATCCTTCGGCCGGGGCGCAGGGCTCGCGGCCCCCTCCGGGGGCGACACAGCGAAGGCGGCGCGAGGTGGGGCGTGTTCGGCGCTGTCGCCGCGCGGCTGGAGTCTGAGGAGCCGCGGCTTCGCCCTCCGGGGCGGCGAGGAGGGAGGCCGGCGCCGCCGCCGCGCACGGTGCGTGTCTCGCGGCGCGCGGCTCTTGCCCCCAGCCGGAGCTCCGCGCCGAGGGGGCGGCGCTGCCTGGGGCTTTGGGCGACGGCGACGCGTGCGGACGAGGGTCCCCTCGGCGCGCCGCCGGATCAGGGGGCTCTGCCGCGGATTGGCGTAGCTCAAGTTGCCGGGGGCTCCGTCTGAGCGCTCACTCCGCAGACGGCTGCGGCCCGGAGGCTGGCGGGAGGCGGGCACGGGAAGCGCGCGGGGCGAGGGCGCCGTGGAGCGCGGGGCGTGGGGACGCGCGGCGGCGGCGCCGCGCCGAGGAGGCGCGCGGGGATCCCGGGGCCCCGCCGCCCGCGCCCACCGCGCCCGCCGCAGAGCCGCCCGCGCTGCTCGGCCGCCTCCCTCCTCGCGTCTGCCGCTCCGCGCGCTCGCCCCCGCCTCTCCGAGTCGGTCCCAACTCCGCCCGCCCGGCCCGGCTCACGTCACCCGCCTTCCCCGCCCCTCGAACCGGAGCCGAGCCCCCGGCCGGCTCTGGCTCCCTCTTGCCGCCCCGCCTCGCCGCGAGGGACTGTGCCTGGCCTGGGCGACACCTCAGGCGGGGCTCCGTCCGCCCCTTCCCCATCCCTGGCCGCGTCCGTGTCCCCACCTTGGGAAAGGCTAGAGAGAGGCCGCAGGCTCCGATTGGACCGCAGGGCACCGCCGGTTGGTGTTGCCAGGGTAACCGGCTGGCATGCGAAGCAGGTCGGGGTTCAGACCCGGTTATGGGTGCGTCCCGTGGACGGAAAGCGGGTCTGGGGAGGGGACGTTCCTGAGGAAGGACTGGGGCGGCCCGCATGGAGCAGGGGCTTCGCGAAAAGTTTCCTCCCGGTCGCCTGCAGGGGATTCTGCTGGGCCCGGGGCCCTAGCAGGTGGAGTCCTTGCGTACCGGCCTGAGCTTCAGGGCTTCTGCCCGAACCCAGCGCCGGCCTGTGTCCCCCCCGGTTATCCACAGCACGGGGCTGAGCAGCCAGCAGCCTCCTTGCTCGACCGCAGCAGCTGCCTGGCCTGGCCCTTGCTCCGGAGTCACTGGAAAGTTCCAGGCGCCTCGGCTCCCAGACTCTCCGCCAGCGTGTCCCCGCCCCCATCCCCAACCAGGACTCCTCCTTGCCCACCCCGTTAGGCTGTATTCCCAAGGCAGGAGTAAGGGAGCCAAGGCGCTGGCTGGGGACCCTTCCCCAGAAAGTGACATTTAGGATTCTCTGCCGACTCCCTGAGAAACCCACACAAAGCCCTGCTGCCGGGCTGCAGGCTGAGGGCAGTGCGCGCCCGAGCGGTGGGAGTCCCGCTGGTGCAGCCTCGTGGGTGAACAGGGGAGCCAGGTCCAGGGACGGGGGAAGAGGCTACGACCCCCTGCACAGGTGCTTCACCCAGGTAAGCTCTGGAGTCACTCAAGCGCAGGTGAGAGCAGTGAGGCCTCCCGGTGAGGGGCAGCTGGTGGGTGGCAGAGCTGGGGGACCATGGCTGGCCTTTCCTCACTGGACGTGTGGGGCAGGTCCACTGTGCCCAGGCAGGAGCACCAGGACACCTGCTTCCCCAGGTAAGTGAAGCATGGTTGCAAGAGTGCCAGCCTGACATGGCTAGGCCACGGGCCACTGCGTACCCCCGTGGGGCCCTGGCCACACTGTCTGACCCTCAGTTTCCCCATCTGTGGGACGGTTCCATGGTCCCTGCCCCGCGGGGCTTTGTGAGGAGTGAGAAGGCCTCTCCCCAGGTGACTGTTAGGGTCTGTGAGCTGGTCTGGGGGCCAGCAGGGTGGGTCAGCACGTTGCCCGCCTGGCCACTTGTGGGTCAGGTCATCCTCCCCTGGAGCCGGGGCGTGTGAGGGCCCATCCCATCCCGGAGGCGAGACGGGAAGGTCCTGGAACCACGTGCGGCCCAGGTAGCAGCAGGGAAAGGCCCCTCACTGCTGCCACCTAGCGGGGACAAGCGGGATTGCGGCGGGGGAGGGCCTTCTTGCTCCTGAGCAGCCTTGAGGGAGGGGACAGGTGGGCTGGGGGCGTCCGGACCCTGTCTGTTCCAGGAACCTCTTCCCCAGCCTCGTGGACGCCGGCTGACCTCTCAGAACACTTTCAAGTGCATTGACTACAAAGCACAGGATTATCAGGAAACCAATTATGTTGAAATGCATTATCAAAAGAGTAATAAAACAAATGTCTAAAATAGCAATGCATGTTCTCCTTTAATAATGCATTCAGTAAGCAATCTGCAGACCCAGAATCGCCACGCTTTTGATGTCGAGATATGCAGCAATACTTTGACGTACCTGCAGCCGTGGTAATAGGAGATGGAAATGCCCGTGTGGTGTCTGCCGGTCACAGGTGCCGTCCTACGGCTGTGTTCTGTTACCTGCATTTATAATGAAGGGAAACACTGAATTTCTGTTAGGGTGAGCAAAAATAAGGACGCCAATTTTTCCTGGTCCAAGTTTAAGGACCCCTTGAATTGTATCCACGTCCCCTGGGGGTCCGTGGGCTGAGAAGATAGAAGAAGGAAGTGTTTTCTGAAAACTGAGGTGGGAACAAGAGGGGAGAAGTCCGTGGGGGCAGTCAGAGCCCAAAGACCACACCCATGCCATTTCAGTCTCTGCAGGGGCACGGTGACCTCTGCCCTGCCCAGCCTGGAAATTGGGATCTGGAACCAGGCACGCCGATTTCTTCTCTTCCTAGGGTAGCTCAAGTCCAACCCTCTCGAAGTTGAGTGCCCACTTCTGATGTTGTTTGTTTCCATTCTATCCCTTGATGAAAGAGATCATTGTCATGTTTTACATACCGTGAAACAATAAAACCACAGCCCCTGTTTTGCCATTTGTGTAACTGGTTTCCTGCGCTTTGATACCTCTCACATTTCTGACCTGTTCATTCTTCTCCCCTTGGGAATTGGGGGGGGGCGGGTGTGTGTCACCCAAAACACACACACACACACACCCTGCACACCTGCCAGGTTCAGCGCGTACAGATGGAATCTTTTCAGATACACCTGCTGTGGAAAGTTCTTCTGGCCCGTTGTCCCTGCTGGGAGGAGCCCCGCCCTGGAACCACCAGAGCCACCGGCCCTGGCCTTGCTGCCTTCTCACCTGGTGGCTGTCTCTGCTTTCCCAGCAGAGGTTGGGCAGCCCCCGCAGGGGGGCCTCTTTGAAGCTCTCCTAGGCCATTTATCTAATGGCCTTCACAGACTCGACTATTTTTAAAACCCATCCAAAGCCAAATTGAGCTGCCATTGTTCATTTCTCTCCCAAGGAGGTAGATGTGTCTTAACCATGACATTTGATTAAGTAGCTAAGTTTGTGATTTTAAATGGAAGGGAAAATGCTGATTAAAATTATGATAAGTTTCTTGAAAGCATTCACACTCCACATCTTCTCCCCCCTCCCCTGCCCTGCCGTCTCCCCCCACACCCCCACCCAGCAAAACCTGCATGTGGCTCAGCATGCAGGGAGGGGGGGGGTGACTGACTCAGTGTCACTTTTCCTTCTCAGGGGAGGTTACGTGCTGCAGACTTTGCAATTCCTCCCCCTGGCATCGGCGCTGCACCCCGGGTGAGCTGCACACAGCTGCGCACCCCAGCCGGGTGCAGGGCACAACATGACTCACAGGACAATCGTACCGCAAAACCAAGGGACACAATTTGAAAGCAGTTTCTTGGCATTGCAGGGTTGGGAGGTTTGGGGGCATGAAGCCGGAAGAGGGGAGGGTCGCAGGGTGGGCAGATGCATGCAGGGAGGGGCCCAGTTGGGTCCTTTTGCTCTCTGGCGACTGGGAGCCAGACCATCATCATCGCAGCTCCCGTTCCGTGTGCTGTCCTGTTCTGCTTCCACCAGCCCTCCAGGGTGCCCCGCTCCTGGCGTGCTGGGCGGAAGGCCCGTCTCTGCTGTGGGGCTGTCCGGGGGAGGATGACAGTGGCCGGGGGAGCTGGGAGGAAGAATTAGGACGAGGTGACTAGCTCGGGAGGAGAAAGGGAAAATCCCCTTCCTTCCTCATGTTCTAGAAGACCCTGGGCCTTGGGTCAGGGCAGGAGAGGATGCCTGACTTCCCACGGTTCTCAGGATGGGGCTCGGGACAAATTATCTGGACGTTAAGAAGAGTGGGAATCAGAGACGGGAAGGGGCCACATGGGTGAGATCAGACCGAGCTGGGGGACAAGTCTGTCGCCGGCAAGTGGAGGCCTGGTTTGGCCGGGGGCAGGGGAGATTACCTGCTCGTCCCGTTGACCGAGCCCTGAGGGTGTGGACGAGGCACAGAGAGTGGGCTCATTGGGAAGCTCCCCAAAGTGGGGTGTGCAGCGGGCGGGGTAGGAGGTCCGACCCGGGGCTGCCCTCCAGGCGGCCGAGACCCTCAGCTCCAGGCAGAGAAGGCAGCGCTGGACACCTGCTCGGTTCCCGGGCGACGGACGTCTCCTGCACATCCAGCCCTGACCACGTCCGTCAGCCCGGGCGGGATCACGTTGCGTCAGCAAACAACCCCAGAGCTCGGGGCCTAACGCGTCCCGCTCAAACTCCTATACCCACCCGTACCGACGATGTAAGGAGATAAAGTATTAACACATCTTGTCTTCTCCGGGCCCCTAAACTCCATGATGCCTGAGTTCGTGAGAATGAAGAAGGCGTGTTTTCTGGCAAGCGTGTGGAGTTCGCAGACCACCTCCTACATCCAAACCGAAACACGGATCCTCGAGTCTCAAAGCCGGGAGGATTCCGAGGGAGACCTCAGCACCCACCCTGGGCGTGGCACCTGCCTGATGCTTGTCGATGCAAGTGGCCTCTGGGAAAACAGCTCCCCTTCTGCCCCTGAGACGGCGGGAGAGTGCAGCGCTGGGACTCGCGCCTCTACCCAGAGAGCAGAGCTGTGATCACTCCATAAAAACCACCAAGAAGTTGGTTAAAGGCACAAAAATACGGTCAGCAGGACTAAGTTCTAGTTCAATAACACAGTAGGTGACTGCATAGTTTGCTGTGTGTTTGAAAAGAGCTAGAATAAAAGGACTGGAAGGTCTCTAACACAAAGGGAAGATAAACATGCGAGGTGATGGATATCCCAATTATACTAATTTGATCCCTACACGTTGTGTGCATGTATCGAAATATCACATGTACCCCAAAATGTGCACAACTATTATGCATCAATAAAAAGACATCACCATGTTTTAAAGTTCTGCTGCAGTTCAAGATCTTGCCTCACACACCAAAAAGCAGCTGACCCCTCTGGGCCCCTTCTTGGCCAGTGGTCACCCACCCACCTTCCCCGAGCCCCCGCTCACTGCCAATCTACAGCACAGAGTAATGGAGTGGAAAAGCCACTTCCTCTAGCAGGGCCTGCTCTCAGCTGCTAGCCTGGGGCTTGAAGAGGCTTCCGGAACATGCTGAGCGGGGAGGAAGACATGTCACTTATCCAATGTCCTGATGCAGGACAGCTGCCCAGCTGGTTCACCCCAGCGTGGCCAGAAAGCCACCCCAGTCTATGATAAGCGCCAGGCCCCCGGTGGTCAGCCGGTGGTCTGTAATAAACATCTGACACCCGTGGGCGCTGCCATGGAATCTACGGCCACGGAGCACGGCCAGCCCTCTGGTCCTGGGACTGAGAGACGGTCCCAGGGCTTCTGGCCGAGGAACCGGCAACCCGGGGTCGGTGTTGGAGAGCTTGGAGTAGGGCCAGAGGCGGCACGCCTGGGATTAAGGTATTCCAGCGTGGTGACATCCATGGTGGCCGTGGGTCACGTGCATGTGTCTAAGAGGATCCTGCCTTCTGCTGGGAAGGGCTGACTGGAGCGGCCCGACCCGGCCGTCTGTCCAGTGCCAAGGCCGTCCTGAGCGCACCCCGAGGAAGGCACTCCCCGCAAAGCCGCCTCTCGGCCCACTCGCGTCCCACCCTCTGGGAGTGCTGAAGAGCAGAGCCCCTGGCGGGCAACACGCGATCCGGGCAGTGAAATGCGAGCTCTGCCAGTCGCTGCCTCAGCCAAGACGGCCGTGCTGCTCTCTGCATGAGCAGTGCCAGCCCTGCACGTCACCCGTGCCAGCACGCTTTCTCCAAGGTCCCGCTGCCGTGTGCTCCTGTGCGGAACACGGCTGGTCGCTAGGTACGCAGGTGCTGCCGGCCGACCACCCAGCATCCGCTCTCTCCTTCCCCCTTCCTAGCAAACTCCGGCGGTGATGGGGAGGGGAGTCTGGCTAGAAGTCCGTATGTTCAAGCCTCCCTTATACCCACGGTGGCCTGTGACACCGTTCTGGCCACCGAGATGAAAGCAGAAATTGCTAGATGGGACTTCTGGCAAAGCTCTGGAGCAGGGGTGCACACACCTTTAGCACACACCTTTCGCCTTTCTTTGTCTTGTGTCCTGCCTGGAATGCAGATGGGGTGCAGGAGATGGAGCAGCCGTGTTGTCCCCATGAGGTGGCAGATCTGAGGGAGGAAGCTACGTGCCAAGAATACCAGAGCGAAAGGGTGCAAGGAGCCTGGGCCCCTGAGGCCTCACGGACATCCATGTGAACCCCAAGTTACCTACCCTCAGACTTTCTGTGAAGCAAGAAAAATGAGTCTTTCCCTAGTTCAAGCTACAGCTTATTCAGTTTTCTGTAACTTTCTGCCAGATGTAATTGTGATTTGATAGAGCAGCAAGAGTTTGCCTGAGAGGCTGTTGAAAACCTCAGGCACAGGCCTTCGTTCCTTCAAGGCCCTAACTTTTGCAGGGAGGAATGTTGCCTCCTCCTGCTAAAGGCTGTCGTCAGAGAGGAAGACTGAGATAAGTGTGGACGCAAAGGGCTAAGCAGAAACACAACACGTGGGTTTCGGGTTAATTCTTCACACTACCCTCTACACGTTTTGGTCTATGCCTATTTCCCTGAAGTTCAAAGTCACACTTCTGGCTGAGTTTGGCATTGGGTTGGGGGTGGGGAAGCTAAGGACTTCATCGGCCCTTCGTTCCAGCGGTGTGTTCCTGGGAATTTCAGTGAGCAGAGAGCACAATGCAGCGTCTCCCGGGAGGCTGACTCCCGGGTCCAGGTTTGGGGTCTGGCACCCAGGAGGTCTCCCCTGGTGTAGACACCAGCAGAAGGCTCTCGATAAGGCAGCTGGGAGCTGCGGTGTCCAAGCAGGTGCTTCTAAGCTGAATCGGGCCCAGGTTTCCCAAGTGAGAGCGAGGAATCTCTTTTTCCCAAGCTAGACAAAGCAGTGACA